CTTTCTCAGATAACAATGTACATCATAAGAAAAGTATAGGTTTTTACTATTTGTTGCCATTTTCCTAAACTTACTGTGTTTACATATTCATAAATTGATTTTAATTTGTACGGGTGGGATTATGCTGTATTTAGCTATGGGGTCTAGTATGTTGTTGGAGCAGTTTGTTGGTTTACATCTGAAAAATAAGCATGGAGGGATGCATTTCTGATTTAAGTTTGACTTTTCTGTGAATCCAGTATTTTACTCTGCTTCAGAACAAACAGGATGCAGCTGCTGGAGCCAGTGCAATGGTGGTTTCCAGTGCTATTAAATGCCTGCCCAACTTTGGATCGTATGCAATATATATGGGGTCCTGCTGTTCATTTTCYATTCCTATGCATGCATGTGGATCCAGCCTTCATGTCCTGAATGGCTGAACAGCTGTGTGCCTCCTTCGGGTACCYCCTGCCCATCTTCAGCAGCCTTTTTCTTCTGTTCCCAAGGAGGAGAATGGGGGTAACTCTTCTGGCTAGGGCAGCACTTGACATCTGTGAGATGTTGGGCTCAGCAGGGATGGTCTGGGATGCATGGGGACCTGTTCCCCATTGGCTTTTCCTTGTCTGCCCTCACAGAGTTAGCAGTTTTTGGAGGCTCTGCCGACGGGATTAGCTGTTAGCTCAAGATATTTCTTCCCAGAGTCCAAGTTTTCCATACAGCTCCTGCCCACGCTCTCTCTGTGGTGGGACTGCTCTTCACGTGCAGTATCTTCATCTTTACTCAGGATGGTGGTACTGGGCCAGCATGCCCAGTGCTTCTAGCATGAGACCTGAGGGAGGACTCAGGTGGATGTGGAGCAGGGTGGCCAAGGCATGAGTCAAGGCATGGCCAAGGCACCTCTACCCGGAATTGTACATGCCCTGCATGGGACTAGTTGCTGAGCACTCCAAAAAAGCCCACAGGACAGGGGTGGCAGCTGCCTCAGCACCCACAAGAGGCAAGGAGAAGCAGAGCCTGGCTTCTGTGGCCAGCACAGGGCTAGTGGAGCACAAACTTCATGATTTCTCTTGAGGATTCCCCAAACGCTACCTTTAGGAGAGATTTATGCCTCRACCGTTGCCGTGATCAACAGGTTTAATTAGGGCAAGTTAACTGAGTATGATTGAAAGTTCTGGTTAAATGCCAGGCTGATTTGTAGGAGCTGGGATTAGCTGGTCACATAGCATCTTTGCGGGATATCAACAGTGCACATTTATATCAGAGTGTCAGTTGTTTGATGGTGTAGCCTTATGGGTGCTAGAACAGCAAAGTGGGAAACCAGCCTTGCAGACAGAGATGGGTGGCAGCTTATCTCACCAAAAAGGATGCTTTGAGTGCAGCATAAGGTGCTCATGGCCAGATGAATTTTACAGTGYCAGCTCTCTGTCCACTGGGAATAAATTATATCAAAATAAATGTGCAACTTTTCTTCTGGAGGGTCCCTGRAGTGGCCTGGCATTGTGCCTGAATTACTTCTTTCCCAAGCAACTCTTCATGAAATGAATGAATGTGAGGGGGAGGATCATGCTGTAATTCTCTGTCTGATATCCAAGCCAGGGGTACGTGGTTATTTGTTTTACCCATTAGTTTACAGAAAAATAAGTATTTAAAAAAAAAAAAAAAGGAAAAAGGAAAAGAAAATCTAAAAACTGAAAAAGATTAAAACATTTCCATTACAYTCTGATGATCTGTTTCTAATGCACTGTCAGGTTAAAAAAGACCTCACTTTGCTCAAGCACATTGGGCTCAAGCCAGACTTCCCAGTCAGACAGTCCATGCCCTGATGGCAATTTTATGGCTTATCCAAATTTGCCCCATAAGGGAAGTACTCCAGGGGACACAACTGGCTCACATGCCCAGGCCCTGGGGCAGAGAGGGGCAGAGATTTGCCAGGAAAAGGAGCCTAGTTAACAAGAAGGCTGGCAGGCAAGTGCTGGGCCAGCCAGCAGCACTGCAGCCTGCCCATGCCCAATGATGCTCCTCTGCACTAGGAATAGCAATGGGGGAATTCAGAGACCCCAGACTTTCTGAATGAAATTTCTTCCCTTTTTATTGACATTACAATGTGAATAAAGTTCCACACATGACACACTTGGCTAAATACTCATGGCCATGAGTTGTACTATGGTGCTGTTACTCTAAGGTTTTCAGGTTCTTTTTGTTAGCATAAAAAGATTGTTCAGATTTTGAGGAATCCTTGCGTTCCTTGTTTTAATGTTATGTCTTTGCAAGGGAACGGTGACACAGAGCCATGGAATTTGCTGTCTGCCTCTGTCACTGTTAATGAGCTAGAAAGCTAATGTGCTTCCTAATCCTAGCACTGATGGGGGGGATAAAAGAGTAGATTGACTTTTTCTTTTTTGTTGTTTTTTTTTCCAGAGCCCTCTCAGTTTGAGAGGATAAAGTGGTGCAAGCAGGTTGCACTGAGCACATACCTAACCTCCGTGCCATGGGACTTTCCTTCAGCACTTAGCCAACCTTTGGTGTAGCTTAGGGCAAGGATGACCACAACAGTTCGCAGGAGTTTTTATACTTTGCCATATCCTATTTTTTGACAATAGTTTTTATTGCTTACGGTACATATGTACTGGGAAACACTTGTTTCCCATATGTACTGGGAAACACTAGTAATGCTTGCAATGCTCTGGAGATTTTGCTGTGTGAGGAAGTAGAAGCAAAATGACAATTAGATATTGTCTAGCACTAGCAACAGCACAGCAGGTCCTGAATTTGATGTCAGTCAGTGAGAAACCTTGTTTACTGGCGTTTGGCCATAAATTGCTTTACAGATCTGGCCAAATCCTTGGCAGAACAGACCAGTTAGACCTGTTGATCCCTTGTCGGGGTAGAGACTTCTCTTCCTTGACAGTTTATAGATGACTCTTTTCATTAGGAACCTCCTTACAAAACCAGATGGGGCTAAAAGCTACGTAGTGTTATCTGTTATTTTGTTCCGTATAATAGGATTCAGTAATTTAAATCTGCCAATCTCAGCTCAAAAAGCCAATGTCAAAAAGCCAATATTTCCTTCTTATGTTCCATTAACAAATACAACCCCAGTGAGTAGMAGCTTTTTTTTTTTTTTAATAAAATTTTGGGCATTTTTTGATTTTTTTTTATTGTTTTTTAATAAAATGTTCTTTAGATGGGTGAATTGCTATGTGACTCACATGAGGAAAATACTCCGGGCTGATATAATGCATGACAATTAACTTCCCTCCTCCCACCCTCCAATTTTGTTCGTATGTCTTGCATTTTGAGGAATCCGTATGTGAACACATTATTGATTTTTGAAACTGAGTATTATCATTGCATGCTGTTTTATTGACACTGTGAAAATGACCGTCGGCAATATCCAGGCTGAGTAACAGCGCTGTGCTCCTGATCTGGAGAATATTTGTGCAGCATGCAGCAAAAGGCAGCTCTTGTGCTTTGATGGGAGTGATGCCACAAGAGAGGGCAGGTAGTGTGGAGCCTTGCCCACAGCCTGCACAGGGCTGTGTCTTGGGCATCTCTTCCTYCTGAGACCATGGAGCAGAAGAAGGGCAGGCAGTGAACTGGAGACTAATGTTTCCGAGGATCTCAGTCTTCAGCTGTGTTGGTCTTGTTCTTTTTCCTTCTGCCTCACCTGCACGATTTACTGATTTGGTTGTTTACTCCATTTTGCTCTGTGGCTTTATGAACACATCTCGTGCTCAGAATGCTTTCTCCTTACAGAATGAGCTGCCTGAGCAATTGTGCCATAAACCTGACTGCAGGTCAAAATGTTTTGATCAGCACTAGCAAAAGGAATGACACTGATGGCCACGGTTCATGGTCAGGGCTAGAGCCGGGAGCTACATCTTCACCTATACAACAAATCAAGGCCTGTCAAATGCTCAGTCACTGAGCACTAGCTGTTTTAAGCTTGGGCAGAGATGGAGATGAGGTCTGCAGGCAGCAGTTTGATTTGTCCTCCCACCGCTCGCTGCTAGGAGCACCAGGAAGATGCTCTGCCTGCTGTTGTTAGTCATGGGGTGCTTTTTCTCCATGTCTGTGGATATCCRTCCTTTAGGAGCTAGACTTAGGCATCAGGCTTTATGAGAAGAGAAGGCTGAGAGGGGATCTGATTAACATGTATAAGTTCATGAAGGGAGAATGTAGGGAGGAAGGGGCCAAGCTCTTCTCAGTGGTGGCYAGTGACAGCACAAGGGGCAGTGGGTACAAGTTGAACTACAGGCAGTTCCATCTCCATGTGAGGAAGAGCTTCCTTCCTGGGAGGGTGCCAGAGCCCTGGCACAGGCTGCCCAGGGAGGCTGTGGAGTCTCCTTCTCTGGAGGTCTCCAAACCCGCCTGGATGCCGCCCTGTGCCACGTGCTCTGGGTGTCCCTGCTGGAGCAGGGGGTTGGACTAGATGATCTCCAGAGGTCCCTTCCAACCTTAACCATTCTGTGATTCTGTGAGAACCCTTTGAATTTGAGCTATAATTCAATGAGATTACAGTGGTTTCTTTGGTACCCTCAGGTGAGGGCCCATGGAGGAGGACATCGTGTCTCCAGCCAGTCCAAGGCATGACCAGGTCAGCTGCAGTCCATGCGCTGGTGACAACAGTGTGGAGCAATATATGGAAATGCTGAAAACATCTTTTCAGCTCGGACGCAAAACAGGGCCCATCTAGATTGTAGGTTTGCAGAGAATAACCCCAACACTGTAAATCTCTCTGAAAAAGACTTTCTGCTGTATTGACATGCTGTGTTGTGCCTGGGGCTTTGATTGCTGGCTGGAGCCCCTACAAGCTGGTGTGATGCTGAGAAATAATATTATCTACAACGGATGTTTCTTAAAATCAAGGACTGTGGTGTAAAGCACTGCTGACACATTTATCTGACCTGAATATCATCCCTCTGTTATTAAAATGAAATAGAAGAGACTCTGAGAATAACCTGAAAGTGGAGCTAACAAAATGACAATTTATAATGACTGTTGCATTCCTTTAACAGAAAAAACTGCTTAGACAATCTAATGGATGAAGATGAGAAAGACAGGGCAAAAAGGTGAGCACTTTTTCTTTTATAACTCTCTGCTTATTTTGTGGTGAGTCTAATAATGTTTGTTGCTGTAGAAGCTGCTTTATCCATAATTAATTCAACAGAAGGAGAGAGCAAAATAAAGCCAAGCACAAGCTGAATAACTGCTCTATCTCAGATCACTATCTCAGCTACTCTGTAAGAACAAAATAACTTAAGCAATGTGAAAAATGTGGAAGAAGCCAAGGCATTGATTTTGCTTTTTCATATTACTGCAGAGCACTAGAACTGGAGAACCAGCAGAATCCTCCTGATTCTATAATATATCACCCTAGCCTCTAGAGTATATAAAATGTGCGATTTTTTTACAAGAGGCATCCTGCAAAAGAAAAAAAAAACTTTAAAAATGATTTTTTTTCCTTATTATGATGGTCATTTATTCAGCTGTGCCTATCTCACAGTAATGAAAACACCCASAAGTTATCTTCATAACAGAAAAAGACCATTAAAGTGCTATGTCAACCCTGAACTGGCACAAACATCTATTCACATATACTCCCCTCTCGCTGATAAAGCCTCAGTTGATAAGTAGGCAGGAAATTGTTGTGAACACTTCATGGGGAGGAGGGAGGGCATGTTTTGAGGCAGAGGAAGATTTGTGGCCGTAAACTGCAGCAACTGTCAGATGTGACTGGCATCTGTAGTGTCACCAAAGCTGTTGGCAAGCTTTATTTTTTTCCCTCTGGAAGCTTTATCAATACTGCAACCTGCAGCTTAATTGCTTCAGAGGGAGCCGTGGGTTGCTTGCATTTTTCCTTTTTCCCTTGGTTCTCTCTAATGAGAGTATTTCCAGTCCAGGCACAACTAGTTGATCTAGTTTCATCTCTTTTGATTCCTTCTCCACTTTTTTTTCTCCTCCCCGCAGCCTTTTCTCACTAATATAGGTCAGCACAGGCTGCAACCAAGCTCACCCGTCCTCCTGTGCTCCCTTTTCTAATTTGTGCATGCTCAAGGCCTGCGCTCGACACCAGGAGCAAAGCGCTGGCCTCCGCTCAGGGCTGCAAGGGATGTCTGCTGATACCTCCTGCAAATAGCGTGGGCATGGGTGGGCAGGGAAGAGGTGGATTCAGGAAAAAGGGGGGTATTTGGAGGAAGGATGTCACAGCTGACGGTGCCATAGATTTTTGAAATAGGAATTTCTGGTGCAAGAAACAAAAATGAAGTGGAAAGTAGAGGAAGGAAGCCCATGCAGTTTTCATCACTCTTCATACAGCTAAGACCTTCTTATTTTCAGAATATCTCTAAACTAATTGTCAGAAAAATGGATTAAACACACACATATAGGACACAGATAGAATAATACGTATCTTCACTATCTGTGCTTGTCATCGCCACCTGATATGTTTTTTTATGCTGTTTGTTCAGCGAGGGAATTCTTTTGATAACCTGGGTCAGGCCTATATCAAGGTGGATAGAAAAAAGACAACTTTTAAACTGAAAAAAAAAAAACATATATTTTATATTTTTATCTTTATATCCTAATTTAGCTTCACTTTCCTTTTTATAAATAAAGCTAAAATTGAAATTAATTTTGAAATCATGAGAGGATAAATGAAGGTGCAAAGTTACAATAAAATACTAAATCCATTCCAAGTCTGTGAAAAGCAATCAAGATTATTTCTCCCAAAGCTCTGAAGAAAGTCAAATTTGGGCAAAGCCGCTGACTAAGCATCTTGCTGTTATTTGTTGGAAACTGGTGGCTCTCATCTGCCATGCGCTGCAGGGGAAGCACTTTCTGTTTTTTATTTTATTCAGTCTGAGGAACAGGTCTCTCAAAGCTAAGAAACCAAAGAAGTGGGTTAAAATAAATAAATAAATAAATAAATAAAAAGACAGGAAAAATGTTTTCTTCTCTCACTCATTTCATGACCAAAAGTTGATGAGGCTGGAACTGCCTGTATCTAACACTTGTGGGAGGGATCCAAGCCTGGAGTGGGATTTCTTGAGCCACAAGTGTGACCAGATGCCTTCATATTTGCTACTTGTTCTCGTTTATTACAACTTTAGTTTGTMTTATGCAGACCTGCCGCCTCACAAGCGAGGCACCAGAGCTCAGATTTATCCTGTTTGCCTCCAGGCGCCTATTTGTGAGTGCCTGAGGAAATCAAGGCTGAGAAGGGCTGGCACTGTAAGTGGGCCAGCATCATTAAAGCCTTCTAGGATTGCAACTAAAGCACTCACCAAGAGCTGGGAGATCCAGGTCCCAGGAGGGACCTTCACCACCAAGCTGTGGGCAAGGGCATCACATCCCTTCTGCTGACCCTGCTCCTCTCCTCCACCACAAAGCACACACTGGGGAGGAGAGCAGAGGGAGGCCTCCAAAGAGCCACGTTTTTGTAGCTTATTGATTGATTCAAGCAGATACTTACATGGGAGAGGAGCTGCTCCTTGCAGAAGAAGGAACTTTTTCAAGCCAAATAGCCTTTGATATATTGCCAGTGCTGGGAACAGGGGCCATGCTCTCCCAAGGGGAGGCATCTGAAATCTCAACCCTTGCCAAGGGAATATTATTTAACTAAGCCATACTGCTCTTCCTTCAGGATCCTGGTTACATCTGACTTGCTTAACTACAATACAAAGCCCCAAGGCCAAAAATATAGGTTTGATGGCACCAAATCTGAAAACCTCTAAGACCTGTGTCGTGTGCTCCAGGTGTCCCTGCTGGAGCAGGGAGGGTTGGACTAGATGATCTCTAGAGGTCCCTTCCGACCTTAACCATTCTGTGACCTCTTGGAGATCTCAGTCTTTTGGAGATAGATACAATATCAATTCTTTGGTGCTGGACAAAGCTTTCTTTAATTTATAACTGTATTAATTAAAAAAAAACGCAAGCAGTGTGATTTTTTTTTGTCTCACTTTATTTTCGTTTGCTTTAACTAATAGAAAATTATTTGAATATACACTTTCTGGAATTTAATTGAATTTCAAATTTTAGCCATGAGTAACCATGTAAATTAGAACTAACATTTGTCATTCTTCACTCTAATAAAATACTCTGAATTAAGGTATGTTATGTAGTTAGTTGCTTTGATGTGTATACAGTGTATCCTGCTGGACAGCAAAAAGAAATATCAAATTCAGTGTAAAATCACAATTCATTGTAAATCAGCATAGTGATTTGGCTAATAATCAACAAGTAACTGTCTTTCTATAAGATGATAAATGGAAAACATATTTTGTATTAAAAACGACTATTTAATGACATTTTAAATTGGGAATTTTGATCATTCTGAGTTCAAACTGTTCTATATGTTCAGCTGTATTCGCTAGAAATCCAAATTCTATTCATACCATATCTCCTCTTTGAATAGGCCTTATTTTTTTCCTGAGTAGTGAGGAGAGAGGAGAACTGGGACGAATTATATGGAATTAAGACACAAACTGGTTTGGCTTATCATAAATGACATGCCCTAGCAGTGAAGTAAACAAGTCTAGGGAATAATCTTCAGAGGAAAGTGAGGAAAACTGCATTATTTAAGACATTTGTAACTGGACTGAGCAATGAAAACATTTACAACTGTACAATGGTAGTTTAGATGACCTAATTGTCTTTCTCTCTCTCCCTTTTTCTTTTTTTTTTTTTAAGATTTTACTGAGATCATTGATTCAGATCTTGTTAGAGTTATTTCCACTAGAGGAGTTTTTACATTTCCTTTGTGAATAAAATGTCAAGTGTTAAAAATAGGCACCTTGTATTCATGTTGAGACATCTTTGTGAGACATCTTTATTTTTGGCAAATCAACACACTTGCCCTATAGATGGTTGGTGTTTTGTTTTATTTTCGGGAGACCCAAGACTCCAGAAAAATGGAGAAAAGCTTGAATTATGAGGAAGTAAAATGTTGCTGTTCTTTAGGTTCCCTTGAACTGTACAGAAATAGGATAAGGATGGAGCTTTTCACATCTTGTTCTGACAGCCTTTTGCATTGTAATAAGAACAGGCTGAAATCAGTCAGGCAGTATCCACCCAATCTCTTGTGTTCAAAGCTGTAAAATAATCAGGCTTTGGCTTCCATCCAGTGCATCTCCAAGTGYGTTCAGGGTCGAGAGGGAGACAAACAAAAATTACCCCTCTATCAGTAGTAACATCCAGAAGCCTCTGCTGCGATTTTGCTGCTGAAAGTGTTTATTGCCATCCCAGTCCTTGGGGGGATGTAAGTGCTGGGCTAAATTCTGCTCTGATTTTCACTGGCGTGCCCCCCGGTGAAGCACCACAGAACTAGCATGGATTTAGCAGCTCCGCATGAGAATGGACCTGTTGGCTTTTCTTTCCTGTCTACCTGTCAGCAGATATTTTAGATCTTCATATATTTAACAAAGCAAATCTTGTTTACTCGGGGACCTTTCAGAAGAACAAACAAGTCTTCTTATATTCTTTATTTACACATGGCTACAGAGGTCTGGGCAATGCTTTCCAAGGGATAGATTGCAGTATTCCAGGGAACAATTCAGAAAACCCTTTGTAGTGTATAGGTTAATATATAATAAAAAACATTAAAGGACACTCACCCAAGAGATCAGCAGTCTTAAGGATAGCATTATGATGATGTCAAAACCCCAAATTAAATCAGGTTCTTCCTTGCTATGAGCTTTTCAAGCACAGCATCAGAGGTAGGCTCTTTCCGAGGAGTCAGAACACTTTCTAAACACACTTTCTAAAGACTTTTTAATTCTAAATCTTCAGGCTTTTTCTTGGTCTGCTCATCTTTTTCCTTCTTTTTTTTTTTTCCTCTCCCTGCTTGCAGGGCTTCACGTAACAAGTCTGAGAAGAAGAGGCGCGACCAGTTCAATGTTCTCATCAAGGAGCTCAGCTCCATGCTTCCGGGCAACACCCGCAAAATGGACAAAACTACTGTGCTGGAAAAAGTCATTGGCTTCCTGCAGAAACACAATGGTAAATTCACTGTAGTTCATACAGTAACCAAATGCTGGTGCAATAACTTGGACCTTCAGGCATGAGTAGATTAGCTCGAGTCTAAAAGTGCTACTGCAGGATGTACATTCGTGTTTCTTCTTCTAATGAAAAAATATACGGGCACTTTCCTGCCCAAAGTGAAGGCCGGGAGGTTAGTTTTAAAAGGCACTCGGTACTGATTGCTAAGTATTTTTTAAATGCCCCCTGGCCGTAGTAGTGATTTCTGAGTCAACTGTTCTAGTCCGGTTGGTCTCGTTTCCAGTATGTAGTAGGTGAGAGTRGGTGAACAGCAGACTCCTTGACACATGGACTTTAGCCACCATCTCAAARAGAAGAACACARTTTAAATGCTCTTTCCTGGGCAYCRACTGGAGCTGGTTTAAAATGGGACSCCCTGTTCCCTTGTGGGAATGAGGTCAAAGCCTTCAGCAGGTGACCACAGGGAATGYCCCTGATCCCCCAGGGCAGAATGAGCTCTAGGRAGTTAAGCATCACCTGTCTCATCTTCATTCATTCAGCCATCTATCTCAGCCATAGAAGCTGATCAGGAGTAGTCAACATGGATTCACCAAGGGAAGTCATGTTTGATGAACCTGGTAGTCTTCTACAATGGGATGGCTGGCTGCCTGAATGATGGGAAAGCCATGGATGTTGTCTACTTGATTTCAGCAAGGCTTTTGACACTGTCTCCAGTAACATTCTCATAGGAAAGCTCCAGAACTGTGAACTGGACAGGTGGACAGTGAGGTGGGTTGAGAACTGGCTGGATGGCAGAGCTCAGGGAGTTATGATAAATAGGACCAAGTTCAGTTGGAGGCCTATGGCCAGTGGTGTCCCCCAGGAGTCAGTACTGGGCCCAAGGCTGTCCTTGTTTGGACAAGGGCACAGAGTGCACCCTGAGCAAGTTTGCAGACAATATCAAGCTGGGTGGAGTGGCTGATGCTCCAGAGGGCTGTGCTGCCATYCAGAGGGACCTGGACAGGTTGGAGAGTTGGGCAGAGAGGAACCTCGTCAGAGGCAGRGAGGTTCAATAAGGACAAGTGCAGGGTCCTGCACCTGGGGAGGAATAACCCCATACACCAGGACAGATTAGGGGTTGACCTGATGGAAAGCAGCTCCACAGAGAGGGACCTGGGAGTCCTGGKTGACACCAAGTTAACCATGAGTCAGCAGTGCCCTCGTGGCCAAGAAGGCCAATGAGATCCTGACTGCATCAGGAGGAGTGTTGCCAGCAGGTCAAGGGARAGGATCCTGCCCCTCTCCTCAGGCCGCACCTGGAGTATTGGGGGCAGTTCTGGGCTCCCCTGTACAAAAGGGACRTGGAGCTTCTAGAGAGGGTCCAGTGGAGGGCAACCAATATAATTAAGGGACTAGAGCCTCTCTCGTATGAGGAAAGACTAAGTGAGCTGGGCCTGTTTTCTCTGGAGAAGAATGAGAGGGGATCTGATCAATATGGGGAGGGGAGAATGTAGGGAGGAGGGGGTGAAACTCTTCTCAGTGGTGGCCAGTAGAAGGGGCAATAGATGCAAGTTGAAACATAGGACGTTCCATCTGCACGTGAGGAAGAACTTTCCTGTGAGGGTGCCAGAGCCCTGGCACAGGCTGCCCAGGGAGGCTGTGGAGTCTCCTTCTCTGGAATCTGGAGATTTTCCCAAYCCACCTSGATGYYGCCCTGTGCCCCATGTTCTGGGTGTCCCTGCTGGAGCAGGGGGTTGGACTGGATGATCTCCAGAGGTCCCTTCCAACCTCAACCCTTCTGTGATTCTGTGATCTCCCACTCACACTTCCTGGGAGCTCTGGATGAAATAGAAAAGAGCATAAAACCTCCTGTATCATGGCTCCCAACATAACGGAGTCACAAGTGTCGAACTCATGGAGGAAATAATTATAGTGATTCTGATGTTACAAAAAAAGTTTCTCTTTAAAATAATTTTTATCTTAGACAAGATGATTTCATACAGGAGGGCATGACTAGGACATCTGAAAGTTTGATAATTGTATCTACCTATTAAAAAGTGACAGTAATAACATATCTATTTTTTTAGCTGCCCAAGGCAGAGTAAAGGAGAATGAGGCTGTGCTCAGTTATAAAGCCAAGCAAAGAAAGATCACATGGGATTTGAGTAAGTGTAGACAAGAGTRGCTGATAGCCCAAATAATTTACTCAGAAAGGCACTTCATTTCTAGAAGAATAATTAAGTAAAAGAAAGCTAACAGCCAAAAATCCTTATACAGCAATTGGGTCAAACTGTGGCTGTTGTTGTGCACTTGCTAAAAAAAGCAAATGTCATCTATTTTTAAACTAGATTAGTAGCCACACAGTATAATACAAAGCAAYGCAGTTTTAAAACGTTGATTATTTTCAGGGTAATTTGGATGTGCTTCATATTTCCCTTTCACTTAGTGTGCTAAATCAAGATTTTAGTTRTAACAGAGGAGTGGATCAATTTTCAGACTTTTTCTTTCATACACATGGAAGCTGCCAAATCRCAAACAATTCTTCTAGCAGTTATGTTTTGCACATGGCATCTTTTCCATGCTATCGATCTGCTGGAAATATCCTATATTCTGGGACTACATAATAAAATCTAATTGGGGCTGCTCTGCCTTTTCCTTAGCTGGCTTTTGGAAGTGCCATGTCAACTTGCCTTAGCTTTGGAGAGTCCCTGTGCTAGCAGCGACCACCCAGCAGTGCAGAAACCTGAATGAGCTGCTAGCAGCAAACAGCTGCCTCTCCACTAATAAAGCCTGAACGGGGGCTTTGATTTATTTCTAGGAGACAATATGCACAGACACTGTTATGAATTTACTGCCTTTTAATGGCSTTTAGCCACTTTCATTCCTCAGGCCAGTTTTCCCAATATGCTCGGAATGGAGAGTGTTGAGTATTACATTCTCCGTTAAGTGTTAATCAATCGGGTTAATTAGCAGGTGGTGCTGGAAGGGAAAGACAGGCTGCACTTGGCACCCCGCGCAGTGCGGGAATTCGGGAGCACTTCCAAAGCAGCGGAGCAAACAGCAAGGAAAACCCGCGCGAGCCTCTCCGCATCATAAAATTCCCCCCCTGTAACACTGGCTGACAAGTTTAGTRGGTAAAGCTAAATGTGAGTCACCGTTATTTGGAGCAAATGGCTTAGCCAAGTRCAGCCTTCGTTTGGCTCCAGGTTTTGCTGCAGGTTTTCTCGCATGCCCCGATGAAGCGGGAAGGGAACTCGTGTCTGCAGGCTGGGGCAAAACACTACGAATGGGTCAGGGTCATCATCACGGACGTGATGCATGGGAGGCCACCCTGCGGGCAGGATTTGGGGATGAAACCCTGGACTCTCTGCTCCCTCTCCTCCCCTGCCCTGCTCTCTATGCATGTTCAGAAAATTGCAACCACCTCTTTGAGATGTGCTGATCTTTGCCTTGATTTTAACTTCATGCACTTTTGTCTTTCGATCAATATTCACCTCTGTGAGGCTGATGGAAAGCAATGGCTTCATGATTGCAAGCTCCCACTGCAGCCAATTCCAGCTGAGCTGAGTAAAACTCGAGGGAAACATTTTGGGATTGGGCCACATTTAGATATTTGTTGTACTCTCACTCTGCATCTCATGCTTGAAAATCGCAGTTTTTGAATGTAGAGATGATTTCTGTCCTTGAACCACAATTCATATATAGTCTTGCAAGATACACATTTCTCTGAATTTAAAAACAGGCACTGTTTTATTTGTGTTTAGAAGTCTCGGCACAGACAGAGATTTCGGAAATTCAGCAGGACTGGAAGCCTTCGTTCCTCAGCAATGAAGAATTCACCCAGCTGATGTTGGAGGTGAACATGAATATATCTTTTTTTTTTTTTTTTTCCTAATTATGTCAAACAGATACAGAAATGCCCAAGCTCCTAGAGTAAAATGCTGTCTGCTGTCCCAAAAGAGGAGGTTATAGGTACTCCCATATGTGACTGCTGAGCAGAGCTGCCCTTGGCATGAAGGACTAGGTCCCATACACTCCTTTCCGTTCTTGGAGGGACAGCACCATTGCCCAGAGCTGCTGCAGCCAGGTACGGAGCACACAGGCTTCCAAGAAATGAGCACCAGAGGAAGTATTCGAATCATGGTTTACATTTCAGTATTACCAACAGAGGCGAGCAGAAGGGAAAGCAGCATTTTATCCTTCTGTTCTCGAGGTGCATTAGTACTAGCTAATAGCTATGCAAAAGTAGTACCTAAAAAGTGACCGTGTCAGGTCCCTTTAGTGCCAGGTGTTGTACAAGCAGATAAAACCTGACAGCTCCTGTTGGCTTGATACACTTAATAGTTCTCCTATAATGATTTTCAAGGCCCTCATCAAGCATATTTCTATTATAACAGGGAGCGCAATTATTTGGCAATGATAGATTTTAAATTGCCTTTAAATTATACCATAGGCACTCCTAACGCTCGCTGGGATCTGAAGGGAGGTGACTCAGTGGCATTTACGCAGGGCTGACATGAAATGCAAGCCAGTTGCTAAAACACATTTTCCTCTCCTTGCAAGGGCCAGAGCCCTTTGCAGCTTTGAGCCTCTCCAGCCCTGAGCACGCGGAGGCTCCTGGCCCTTTCCCTCCTTCGGGCTCCGTCGTGGGACCCCGGGCGCTGGCTGTGGCACCGCGTGGCTTCGTGTCACCACGGGGGTGGCACCAAGCGGCACTCAGGGCTCCCAGCTCTCTCCCAGTTTGGGGTAGAAAGATGCCACGTTGGCATTGATGTGACGACGTCAGACTCTCCTTTCAGTGTGCAGGAATTTAACACGCGCCGCTCCTTCAGCCTGCATTAAAATATTGCCCGCAGACAGCCACAAATTGGCCGATGTCTTGACTGGCTGTTCCTTTGCGGATTCCTCCTGTACGCCGTGCCGTTTGAGCTGAAAACAATTGCTTTTGGTTTCCTAGCTTAAAAATAAACTGCTCACTTCTCTGAATTTCCCTGCCCTTCAAGCTAGCCCYGGGTGCCGCAATGTCCTGTTGAGCCAGCTGTTCATTACTCTTTTTTGCCTTTCCTCTAATAGTATTTCATTAACATTTGGACAGGCTTACAATTTTTCCCAGCCTATTATAGAGAAACGGGAAGGAGTTTTCTCTAAGCACTAGTTCCAGGGAATCAAAGCATATTGATTCCAAGTATACCGCTGTATCTCAGTATACTGATGTATTGGCTTTCCTCAAAATGATCTTTTCTCACACCATAAAAAAAGATTGTCATCAAATTACATGAGCCGTTATTAGGTTCTTGCTGTCCATTCACAAGAGCTGCAAAAGTGAAATCTTTGATGGGGGATATGCCATCTCTACATTAGAAGAATTAGTTGCAAGTAAATAAAAATAGAATTATGTATGCGTGCATTAACTTGATTTTACCACCAAATTCTGATGTGAGTCACTTTATTTCATATCCAATGCAAATTACACAAAGACTTGATTTAAAAAAAAAGAGAAAGCCCTCACCATAGTAACATGCACAATCCAGCTGCCTCGYAAAACCACTGCTCTCTTCTATGGGTTAACAGCTATCACGGTTTTTAGAAAACAGCTTGAATGTACTGTACTAAAGAAAAACATATCCTCTGCACTTAGCTTAACAAAATCAAACTAGCTATTGCAGCTGGAGGGTTTTCAGAGATGCTAAACACACACTCCTCTGCTGGGGTATAAGTTATTGACCTGCTTTTCAGAGGATTGTAGCACCAGCAGATTCCCATTGACTTAAATAGTTGTGGGTGCTCAGCATTCTCTGGAAAAAGGAACATGTGTTTGTATCATTATTCAAGGCTTTGTGTTTTCCTTTTTTTCTTTTAAAAACCCCCAACAATTAGCATTTTCCAGCACTCTCCAAATCCTTCCCCTCACTGAAGGCAGCGCAGGGGGAGGATGTTCTGCAGTTCCCAGGAGCAACTGCTAGCCTGGCTTGGAGGGACACCAGGATTTGCSATGAGCTGCTGTAGCTCCCTGTCACCCCAACCAGGCTGTTTGCACTACACCTGTCTTCTGCACAAGCATTTCCTCTTCCAGCCCCACTCGGGTTCATTTGCGCTGCTCAAATACAGCAGTCAGCACCAACTCCAGATGTAACCAGTAAACTGACCCAAACAGGACCCAGACATGYCCCACTCAAAAGGCACTGGAAATTCACTAATGACTCCTGGATTTCAGTGGGAAGGATGTCATGCAGTCCCTGAGCACCTGGTGTTGACTCTTCACTATTTTGGGGGTTCTGCTCAGAGCAGACGAAAATGAACTTTAAGTCTGGAAACCTCAATAAGTTAAGCTTTGAGCAAGGTTTAGCTGAGAGCTTTGCAGCTCAGGGTGAGGAAGAAACCAGTTTTGAAGGCAAAATTGCTCGTCTGCAGAGGACAGGAGTGACAGCTGGTGTTGTCCTGCAGTCCCAGGAATGAAAGGACTTACTGCAAGGTGGGACAGAAAGTCTGAGGCAGAAGCTCTGTAAAAGGGTGAATTTCTCCTTGAATAAGCCATCTAATGCCACAACCTTTAAAATAAATCACTCAATTAAAACTCAGGCTAAGGATTATTTGATCATTTGCATTGCTTTTACTTACATGAAAGCCTGGTAATACACAACGTTGCATTAATACAAACTGAGATTTATGGGTTTTGCAGAGAACTACCATTTTGAGATAGGCTGCATCCTTTATCGTCCTTTGATATTTACACAGAGCTCAAATGTTCATTTTAATAACTTCCAAGGGATCCAGTCTTAGTCATTTTGCATTATTAAAATGTGTGATTAATTTAAAAACTGAGACATGAAATGTTCCTGTGAGCCCTTTGTTGCTTCAGTAGTAGGTTTTACTAGACTACAAAGAGCGTTGTAAAAGTTGAATCAGACTGTAAAATCAGAGAATTGCTGTTCTGCGACTCGAGATAACATTCCTACACCCTAATGACAACACGATGCTGAGGTAGAAACAGTTTTGATCAACATGCAACGCGATGTGCTGTTTACACCGCTCATCCCTACTAAAGCACTCTCCACTCGTATGTTTTGCTCTTCTCCCTAGGCATTAGATGGCTTCATTATAGCAGTAACCACAGGTGGAAGCATCATCTACGTGTCCGACAGCATYACCCCTCTTCTAGGGCATTTACCGGTGAGTAACTCCGGCGCAGGAGTCATGGGCACGCATGGAYAAGGGCACCCGTGAGGGTGTAAATCACGGTGTGAATCACGGCGCTCGTGGGATCGCTCGTGGGCCCTGTGTTTTTAGAGGGAAAAGAGGGAGGGGGAGATGTTTTCCTCAAAACACGGTGGTTTGTGCTGGTCCTTGCTGCTGATGAGCTCTGTTCTCCATGGGTGTCACTCATTCCCTGCGGGGTTTTGCTGCTGTGAGGCACTTTGGCAAAGCTTGGGAATAGTCCTGCTGGGAAGGCACAGGGTGACCTGGCTGGTCTCTCCCATCCCTGATTTCTAATCTAGTGAGAGGAGCTCTGGTGCTCCTGGCAGCCTGGCAAGGAGCCCGCAAAAGACCTTATGCTGCTCCTACAACTATATAGGAGAAAAACCCTATGGAATGGAGGCRAATGGGAATGCATCTCCAATTAACTGGTGGCACCTGCTGTGCTTGTCAGGGTGCTCCCCATGGCCAAACTCCTCCTTCCCAAGGCAATTGCACCCACATTTGGGTGGCAAGAGCTGATGCTCCATGCTCCCATTTCAGATAGTCCATTGGTCTCAAATAAACACATACTCTGGAGAAAAAAATAGCTGCCAATTCGTTATTGTAACTTCCCCACCACTGCCACCATGCACGTAGGAAAATTGCAATTATTTCTCCCAGGCTTACATTTTCACCAARTATGTGCTACGCTTTCCACCTAGCCAAATATATTTTGCACACACTACCTTGCTGTAATATGAATGAAAAATATCTTCTTCTGAGGTTTAAAGGACTTGATGAAAGGCAGCAGCTCCTGGTGAAAGCAAGGATATTGCTATGCAACAGTAGATTGAACTAAATCTATCCATTTCAGTTTTCTTTAATCCTCTACAGTTGAAAAACTCAATAGTTGGCTGTTTCGTGACATACATATTTATTGCAAAGGCAGAGAGCCCTGTCCTGCAGTCTCTTGGGTCTTCATCCACTTACTGATTTCCATGAAGTCTCTTTGKTTTTTCACACTTTTGGGGGGCTTATTGCTATAATTTCCACATTCTTAGTGGAAACTAGGTATGCTGCAGGAAAGTATGACTTTTTGGGAAACTCACATAAAAACATATTTCTGTCCCTGTTCCTAAAATCTTAAGCCCTCCTGAACACGGTTGAATTCAGGCTCCTAAGTCCTGAGTTGGCCCATCAGAGACTAAATTTGTTTTTCCCTCCCAAACTCATGCTTGGTATTATAAGCTTATAGTGGCACCCATTCCGAAATGAGAAGGGCTGTAATTTTTCGTTTCCATTGAAGCAACCTTGCAACGAGCCCAAGCCAGGGGCCAGCTTGCCAAGGCCCAGATGCAGCAGAAGTTCCCACAGATGTTCTCAGCACTGAATAAGTGTTTGTGGTTAAAGAGTGCCCCGTCCCAGAGACCACAACGGAGTGAGCAGTAAAGTGCTGTAAAAAAGTAAACTCTCTCCCCAAGATGTGCAAATCGCTACGGCTGAAACACCAACACCGAGTGTGCAGTTAGGTGGCATAGCTGGCATTTTAGTCTCATGTTGTCCTTCTCATCTGACTTCTTAAGCTGCAAAATTGATTGGAGTGCCTTCTGAAAAATCTCTGTGGCCTTTATGCTCTCTATTTCCAGGGACTATTTCTGAGTTAATTTCAGTTACTGTTTGGAGGACAAAATATCAATTCTTTCTCTTTTGTGGCTGCAGGAAATTAATAATAATAATAATAATAATAATAATAATAATAATAATAATAACGGCTCTGAAAATCTGCTATTTTAAGCATTGACTAGAAAGTATAACTAGGCAGAATCTGAAGCAGAGATTTCTGAGGGCCCCTATGAAGAAATCTGAGGTCTTTTCTTTCATTAAAATCATGAAAGATCTTGGTGCTGGAAACAAATATATCAAATTCCCTTTAAAACAGCCTTGCTTAACTTTAAGTTCCATGAAACTTTTCAAACCCTMTGTTGTAATTCCAAATAATCTGATATTAGAAGATTTAGAGGCAACCTGATGAGCTTGATCCCATGCCACAAGACTAAATATTAGTAAAGTTATTCCTGTAAATCTGGTCACAGCTCATAGCGTTGTCCAGTCAAATGTTAGGCTACATCTCCAGAGCTCTGAAGGAGGATCCTCTCTGCCCCTTCCTGCTGCTCTGTGCTGGGAAGACAAGACACAAGATATCAGAGCAGCCATTTCCCATCTGCAGGAAAAGGCAGAGTCCCTCTGCCTGCCCATTCTTGTGGAGACTGTTAACTGGTTGCCCTGCTTTTCTTCCCTGCAATAAGGAATTATTCATCATCTTTCCTCCTCCTCCTCTTTCCCAAAAGAGCAGGGGAAAGGTGAGGACAGAGCTCTGCCTCGGAGAGCAGCTCTGTGGTTGAAACTGTGCAGACATTTGAGCTGTGCACCAATGTCTGTTGTGCGGTGCAGCACTTTTAGGGATGACCATCATTCCTGTAGGCAGGGGTGTTCCATTCCCTGCCACAGCCACCGAGGATAAATACTCAGAAGTTTCTGTTAGCAGGCAGGATCCATGGGTTTGGAGGTGCAAAGTGGCTTCAAAGCTTAGCAGCATAAATGCACATTAACAGAGCGACCAGGATTTGGCCATCTCTGCTTGTGACCTTTTTGCCAAGGCACTAGCTGTCTGTCTGCTGTTTGGATCTGGTGCACAACTAGTTCTGAATAGCTCGCCTGACATTTCCCACCGCCCCGCGGAGACTGTGGAGTATTTRCTGCCTGCTCTATATTTGAACTGTTGACGTATTCCTGATTGATATATTGATGCAAGAATATTGATTTATTCTTGATCTGTGCAAGACGGAGAAATTCTGCCCTGTGAGCTGCTCTGCAATTGGGATTGACTCCTGCAGGAGGCAAGAGTTCTATTCACTTTCATAAATCTTACAGTTTTGTTCATACCCTAAAAAAAAAAAAAAGAAAAAAAAAAAAAGAAAAAGGTATTTCCGAGCAGAAAAGAAGAAAAGATGAGAATTTGGATGTGGAACATGACAGAGGCAAAAAATATATATATAAATACCAGGACCTTGGCATTTATGTTGGTGAAATCAGTTGGTAGAGAGYGCTCATGGAGCGCTCATGGTCAGGTAGCTTTGAGCAGAGGTGTAGAAAAGAGAGTCTCTTACAACCCCTATCGTACATGAAGCCATTGGCCTCAACACAGTAAATGAATCACAAAAATAGTTTTAAAATAGTAAATATTCTTAACAAGATGACTTTACAAGTAGTGAGCTCATACAGTAAATACAGTTTMATAATMTGAAGTAATATTTTATCACATCAAGAAAAGTATATAGACTGTAGCAATATCATTTTCAAAGTCTCTTTAATGCATTTTGATATCTTAAGTATAAATTCTTRTTGAATATTGCTATATTTGATACCTTAAGTATAAATTCCGCAGAACAGCAGGCRTGTGTGGAAGGCAGAGCATCATCTTAAGTAAATACATAAATAAGTGATGATGATTAATAACTTGCCAATCTCACACGGTGCTAACACATTCTCAACGTGAAATACAGCCTGGTAGCAGCTGCTCTGACAAGGCATGGTGCTGTGTCACTATGCCAGCTCAGCCTGAGGTCGTCTCGAGTGAGATGAGCATTAAGTTTAAGCCATTAGAGGGTTGCTTTACTTTAGGACTCCCTTCTGGGTGTTTTTCTAGCTTTAGGGTTGCCACCACGGCTGGTGTAGTGACTGCAGGAGCCTTTCAGGTCGTGGCCACGGGGCCTGCAGGGCCTGGTGCCAGTGACACCGTGACGTCCTGGTCCCAGGGGACGCTCACTGCTGCAACGTGGCCACCAGACCACAGCATTGCCTTCGCTCTCCCCCATCCCGAGCTTTGTCAGGAATGTCTGGAAGTCAGCGGGAAACTCCCAGTGACCCTAGGCTTCGTGTGCCCCACTAGACTGGCCGCAGCCACCGGGGCACGGGGCTGGCAGGGACGGCGCGCGCCACGCTGCCGTGCGTGGGGATAGTCCTGTGTTTCTCAAGATGCCTTTTCCTTTGCAGTGCGATGTCTTGGATCAGAATTTGTTAAATTTCCTTCCGGAACAAGAACATTCCGAAATTTATAAGATGTTGTCTTCTTGTATGCTTATGACAGATTCTGCCTCATCGGATTACYTAAAAAGTGAGTTTTATTTTATCTTTCCCAATACATGGAAAAGTATGGGCAGAATAAGAATTTTCTCTCAAAAGAAAACATTTTTATGTAACACACAATACACGCCTTATGTCCATAGGTTTTTAAAAAGATCTTGCCACCTGGAATGACCTTCAGTACTGTTTTAAAATTAAATTCATTGCATTTATTTTACTAGGCTAGGGCTGCTTGCAGTTGTGTTAATTATTAAACATTGTCTCTTTTGAGACAGCTAAGGAAAATAGGTTAGCCAATGGAAACTGAGAGTTCGCCTGAGACAAATCACATCTTAATTGATATTTCAGCCTATTAAAGTAAGATGCTGTTTGGAGATGTGCTAATGTCACATACCTTTGTTTTGCATTACAGTTGAAAAGTATCTGTAAAATCATTGTAATTCTCTTTCTAATTGAATTTTGTTTTTCTTAAAAAGCCTTTCCCTTGCCTCACCCAGAACACACATAATAATATAAAATGCACAGCTGCTTAATCTACTGTATATACAAAATCTGCAGCTGCCAAAGTTAACCTGATAGAAATTTTTGAGGTAATTAGGCACACTATTCCAACATGAGATGTAGACCAACTATGAATCATGAAAAGTCTAAACTGAAAAAAAGAAAGTTTCAAATCCATTTCTCTGGGTAAYTCATACGAGGAAGATGGTGTAAGAGAACGCAAGTTAGGTAAACCCAGCCATGTGCACAGTGCTGAGCATCCTGGATCTCCTGCAAGGCATTTTCTCAGGGAGGCACTGACCCTGCAGCTCATAGTACACTGATGTGCAGGAATCTGCTCTCGTGTTGCTGATTGCAAGATTGGGGTTGAAAGGCACCATTCATTGTGTTTAGTCTAAATAGTATATTTATTTCTTCTTCTTCTTCTTTTAACAATCCAGCTGACAATGAACTAGAGTTTTATTGTCATCTTCTGAGAGGAAGTTTGAACCCAAAGGAATTTCCAACATATGAATACATAAAATTTGTAGGAAATTTTCGGTCTTACAGCAATGGTAAGCTTTAATTGTTGTATAAATGTTACTTTAGCTATGCAAAATAAAATAGAAGTATGATTCCATAGAACAAGACAGGCTGTTAACTGAAAGGAMTATTTCTAACATTATGGGATGAATCTCACTTCCCATGGTTCTAGCAACTGATTTGCAACGTGCCATAAATACCTATGAAGTCTGAAATTGTATTTGTTCCTTTTGTCAATGCACCTTTTTTGTAAGTAGTAATCCTGGATTCTGGGTAGCTCTGCAAGTAATGAAGTGTTCAGAGGAGGGTTTGTTTGTGCTCACTGATGCTAGGTGCTAAGACTGTATCTATTAGCTAACTGATAACATTGCTTACTTATCTACTGGCTATGTGAAATATGAATTCATGCCTATTCTGGGACTGAGAATCTGCTGAATCTGCCTTTTCACCCTTCTCCAGGGGATTCTGGAGAAATGCTGCAGAGCCACATAACTGAGTGCCTCCATCCAACACCCCCCACACTGTGGAGACATGTCCCCTTCCACAGCCATCAAAGTAGCTGAGGACACGTAGATCCTCCTTAGTCTCAAACTCTGTCATTTTGCATTCTCCTCCAGCTACAGTACCCAATATTCACATAAAAAGGAGAGAGCTATAACCAGTGTAGTCGTTAATGCTGCATAGTCATCCTAAGGAAACCACCTTTTGAGAGGTGAAGAGCAGATTTTTACCTAAAGTACTCCCTACTAAACAGACTGCTGCCTGGTTGAGTGTCAGGAATGAAATATTCTTTTATCACTTCCCCTTCTCCTGCCCGTCCAAGTTTGCCTTAGTTACTTGTCTGACTGAACTACAGAGTGGCATTTCAAAAGTTGCTGGGCTTGTTCCAAATAGGTCATCCTCRGCAAAAATTCCCCACCGTGCTTTCCAAAAACCGCGCACCACACTGCGAAAAAAATGTCCCTGTCCCCATTTAACTCTCTGGTCTCAATCCACATGACTAGAATAGAAACCTACGTGCAGCATGGAGATATGTATTTCTTGTTTGGTGCTGATTTGAGGCTTTATTTGTACAGAAATGTGACTGCCTTTATGCTTTCTAGTTTGAATGAAGTGAGATGTGGCTGCATGGCAGACGCACACAGCAAGCTGTACTGTTTTCTAGAGCAGAAACTGAATTTCAGGTGCTGACTCATAAGGATACATTTCTTCAGGGAAAATTTTRATCCATTTCCTTCAAGGACTTTCAACTTTTTAAAAATCTTTTTTAACGTGACCTTGAATTGCCCTCYTGCCCCTTAGGATTTCATAGCTGAGCCTTTTTACCAGCTATTTCTCTGAAGAAACATAAAACTTACATTTTCACCCTGTTCCTTAGAAGTCTTCCCTAGCTTACCATTATTAAACTAGATGGGAATATATGTTTTTCAGGAGATGCTAGATCATCTTCTGAAAACTTTGGCTTATAGCTTTCAGAAGAAGACATGCACTTCCCAATTTCCTTTTTTCCTTTGTACCACTTTTTTTTTTCTCCATCTTTCACTTTATTTTCTCTCTCTGAAGCTCTTCTCATCTCTGCCAAAGCCTCACTCGCATCTGATGTGCAGGATTGCCCTTGTCCCTGGTGGACCTGCTCCTGCTTGGCCTCCTCCCCAGGGGGAACGGCCACTTGCCCACCTCAATTCTTGTGTCCTCRTGCAGGGGGTGGTCACCCAGCTCATGCAGCAGGACCTAAGCAAGCTCCAGTACCAGGAGGAACAACTTCACAGGGAGGAAAACTTCACAGGGGAGAGCTTCCCCGAGGTGCCTAGGATCTGCTGGCCCTAAATCCCACATTTTGGAGGTGCTGGTGGAGGGAAAAAACGGAGCTAAAGATAAGAAAATAGCTTGTAGAGCATCCTGTGGAGGGGGAAAGATAGAAATTGGAAATTAAGCCTAATTAGTGGGAGATGTTCCTTATGAATGTATTCAGGAATGCTTCTCCCTGCAGCCTTTCGCAGCAGTGGAAGTGTGAGCGTGTTTTTACACATGGGAGACTGATACAGGATGTTCTTCCCTAAACACAGATCTCCAGCCTTCTTTTAGCTGCCGGATGCCAAATTCCACCTTTGTTTTTAAGGATTTGTTTAGCACACGGCGAATCCACCGAGGCAGCACTATCCTGCTACACTAATACAAGGCCCTCTGTAGCCGGAGAGGCCGTTTCATCCTTGCTGCACCCCGCCAGAATCCCTAAAAATCCCCTTCTCAGGCACACCAGCTCTGAGCAGCCATGTCTGCCTTCCTCCCTCCCACCTTCCCCCTTAATCGCAGTGTGACTTACAGCTGCGAAGTTGGCGCGGGGATGTGTTTGAGCGGATTAATCCGCAGGGCCGAGGCTTAGAAAGCCAGTTAGGGGCTTAGCTGCTCCTCCGAATTTTACGGGGGAGCTGCGGGGCTAGTTTGCCTCCTTGTTGAAAGGAAGGCCGTTGTAGCGGAGCACAGAGGGCTTGGTTTCCACCAGAGCCAAACAGATAAGCTGGTGTGCGYGCCAGCGGGGGGAATGGCAGCCGGGGGTCACCCCGTGCAGAACCAGAGCACCCGGTGGCCATGGAGCAAGCACGCCGCCCCGCAGTGGCCGGGCCCGCGGCCTGCGTGAGTCACCGCCGCTGCCAAACCGCGTCCGAGGGATCCGATMCCCCGTTGGGGAGGGTTGTATAAGCACCATTAACTAGGCTCCAGTGGGGAAAGCAGGACGGCAGGCTGGCGTGACGCGCGGTAGTCCTTGTGGAAGAGGGCAGATGAGGAGGGCAGAGGGTCACTCAGAAGAGGAAGGCATTTTTCTCTATTTCTTGAGGAAAAAAATGCCTATTTGCTCCCCAGSTACTGATTTTTATTTATTTATTTATTTTGTATTTGCAAATAGGAATATCTTCCAACATATTTCTGTATTAGTCTCCACATTAGTCCCCACATTAGTCTCCAATTAAAACCTTTCCCAACATTTAGAGTTTAACAAGAATTAAAATCCACCTATGCCCAGCCATCACTATAGCTGTTGACCAGCAGGGCATGTTCAGGAACAGAGTCACGTCAGAGTTACCACACACTAACGCACTGGCCCCTATCCAGTTTTACCTAAGGGCTGAGCAGGAAGGCATAGCAAAGATCCTCCCTCAAAAGAAAAAAAGGAAAGAAAAAAAAAAGAAAAAAAAAGAGAGAAAAAAAAAAAAGAAAGTAGTACTTAGCTCCTAATAAAATACACCTAATTAAAGTGAGAATAAATTATTTGGCAAAGCAGCTTAATAGCTAGCTCTGATAAGAAAAGATAAGGCAAGCTGTATTTATCCCTCCTCTAAAAATTGTTTGCAGATTTGTACACAGAAGAGCCTTTCCCAGTTATATAACTAAATATTGGCTTTGGTATTTCGGAGGTGATATGTTTGCTTAGAAATTCCCCAAAGGAGCAAAATCAGAGTCCTACCTTTCAAAGTGCTCATCAGAATAAAAAAGAAATGCCAGCATCTTTAAAGAGGCAGATCTGCCCTTTCATCCAAAATGCCTGAAGTTTTCCGTTTAAAGGAGGAAATAATTGTTACATAAAAAGAATTCCTGAGTAAGTAATAAAATTAAATATTATAGTAGAGTTTAAAATTGTGCATCTTATGTTCCCAATATTATGGAACTCGAGAAGTATCTGGTTACTGGATGCTAATTATAGCAGATATTCTACTGTTAGCCAATATACATCTCAGAGATGAGATTAACCATCAAGGAAATTATTACACTGGGGAGAAAAAAAACCCTCTTCACTCCCAGAGCAATTAATTCAATCTGAATTCCCTCTTAAAGGAAATAAACAGATTTATACAGAAGATATATTGATCTTGAGCATATAGACGCATAGGCATGCATAAACATATGTAGAAACATCTGATAACAGGAATAATCCAAACAGAAGTAAATGTTTTGCTCAAAACCAGCGGTCGCTTATTGCTGTTTGCTATTAGCACGATAGCAGAAGCTGCAGCTCGCAATTTGCATCTTTTCTGCTGGGCACTCGACAGGCATTTATACAAAAAGACACAATTTTTATCCTAAAGAATTTACATGAGATTTATATCAACAAAGGGTAGGGGTAGGAACAGGAGGAGGAAAGARGAGGAAGAAGAGCAAAGTAAATAAATAGTCGCTATCAATGTTATTCATCCAAGGCTATTGAGTGTAGCCTTGCTTGTCATTAGCATTTTAGGTTTCATCATTTTATATATGTTAACTTAGTGAGTATTCTGTTGATCTAAGTTCTGAAATTATATATAAGAAACAAGCTTTTCCCTATTCTGGTCTGTTGGGCTGGTTCTATTTATTTATTTATTTATTTATTTATTTATTTATTTATTTATTTTTAATTGCTATTCTGTTTGTTTAGCAGTTGTTAAGATTAGTGCCTTAAACTTCAGCATCTACTGCCGAAACAGGAAGGAACAATTTCATCTTTAAAATGACATAAGTGCAATATTTGCTGTTACAAAAAAAATTCATTTAAACATCCCAAGTTAAAATGTCTTAGCAATTGGCTGTTGTACTCTTTTTAAATAAAAAAATGCAGCTTCTCTTTTTTTCTTTTTTTTTTAACATGTTTTCATTCATTTCATGTGCCATGTTTTGTGTCCTCAGAGATAAAAATCTTTGTTTCCTTGGTAGTTAAAGGCTTTGGTTCTTCACAGTTTACTTATTCTTAACATCTTAGCCTTACTGCTTYTGATCCTCATTTTTCTTAAAACCCTGTATTTATGCAGATTGATTTCTTTCTATCTTCTTGTATTATTGTATTTGAAGGTAGTTTAATACTTCTTCTGCCAAAAAATTATGTTATACCTCTAGAAGAAGCAGACATGATAAACAATCACAAAAACTACCAAAACTCATGCTAAAGAGCATCAGCTAACTAATAAATACAAAATAATCATTTCACTTTTCTGATCATGTCTTTAGCTCTGTCATGTAACTCATAATTTTCTATTCAGGATGTTTTTGTCCTGATCATTTAAATATGAACTGTACCTCTCCCCACCTATTTTATAGCCAGCTTAATGTTTTTGTCAGAGGCCTTCTAAGTACTCATAGACTTATATAAGACATGTAAAGTCAATATTGTCATAGCTTTAGACTACATTCTATATTTTACATTGGACTCTTTTTCTGTGGTGCTCTCAGAAAGTTCATTAGTGAACTTTGCCTCTTTAAGACCYTGTGTGCCTTTTCTTTCCAAAGCATTTTTAGAATTGAAGAATATGATTTTTCAGAAGGCTTGTTTAAAAGGCTGTGTTAGAAATTCTTTTTTTAAGAAATACATATAATTATCCCCTTTTTGATAACATTTTCAAAGGTCTCAGTAAAAAATGTTGAAATGTACCAAGCTGCAGGAGAGCAGTAAAACAGGCTTTGCAGAGCTGTCAAAAGCTCAAAATACTAACAAAAACAATTCAAGAAACAAAGTAGTTGAGAAACAAATGTAGTTTTTGTCCCTTTCATCTACAGTATTTGTTATTTTCAGTTGCAGAGGTACCTCTCAAGCTGGTAGCTACCTGCCCTCTGAAGGCCGCTATTAGTCTTTTAATGCCTTGGACCTTGTCAAAGGCACTTGAGCGTGGAGCAGGCAGAGCATCCGCTGCAAGCCTGGGGGATGTCAGCCAGGCTGCCTCTCTCTCACCTCCCCAGGCTTCCTCACTCACTGCCTCCAAGTTCAGCGTTCCTAGTGACGAAATGCCAAACTTGCCTAATAGCCGCATTTTATGACAATTACTGCCCTGCCAGTACTGCATTTCCCTCTTGGAAGCAAAGTTCCGTTTTGTCAAAGCAACATTAGGGGATGCATTCTGCTCTTTTCTGGGAACACAACTTTTTTTTCAGACTCAAGGTTGTTTACATCAACCAGCTTAAGTGAAAAGGCCATCCACTCTCACCAGAGCATCTCACTTTTCATTTTGCATTTCTTGTGGAACTGGTGTCGTTTGCAAGGTCATGCTTTCACTAACTAGGTTAAATTATCATACCTGGGCTTTAGAGCAGTGAATGTGCTTATCCCATTTTTTATTTCTTCAAGACCAGCCTGCAAACATTTACTACTGAACCTAACTATTACAGAGAGAAACATTTCCATTGACTTGCAACGCCTAAACATGACCACTTTATTAGGTAGCAAGCATGGAAGTAACTCTTAACAGTGACTTCACTTGGGTGTATAGCCTTGCCATTAATTTTTAAGCAGAATTGACAGCCAAAATCAACTGACTAGTATCAGAACAGAGCAAGTAAATCTTTACTCAGAGCTCTCCTGTGTCCTGTAGCTCTTAACTCTTTCCCCTTTTTCCCACGTCTTGAGCTAATAGTCCCACAGAAGTCCTCTCACAGGCACATTTAGCCCAGAAGCAGAATTCAATTGCATATTCTTCAGAGGCCCCCAGAGCAAGTGTGCTTTGCTTATGAAAGGGTGAAAGTTTCTTCCATATTTTTTTATCTTAGTATCCTGTAAACCCTACCCTCAAGACTCAGATGTTCACATCAGCCTTGCTTTCTCAGATGTGGAATCTCTTTCCCCATTTTTGACAATACATATATTTTTGCACCCATAATGTTTTAAAAATCTTCTCTTTGGAGTCCTTCCTTTTCTGTCTCTTACCCTGCTATCCTTGTTATCAGCTTTACATTGTTATGTTAAGGCTTTGTGACACATTGAACTGGGCTCCAAAAGCATGTGTGATAACCAGGTTGAGACCTCCATCTGCACAATTTAGGCTAGTGAAGTAAAGCCCAGCTCCCACCACAGCTTCATGCTCAGTTTTCCTTCACTCCATGGGAGCAGGACTGCAATACCACCCAAATTTGGGTGAAGAATTGGCGTTTTGTCACTGTAACATGGAATGCTGGGCTAAGCTAAGGCAACRGGATCTCTTGTTGACGCAGCACTAACTTAGGAAGTACTTGAGGCCCCTCAATGCAATACAAAAGCCATGCAGTCATGAAAGGCATAGCAAACACATACAAAACCTGTATCAATATCATGTCCTTATTTTTTTTACTTCAGACCAGGGTTTCATCTGCACCGCTACAAAAATGGCCAGTTCAGGATGCTAGTGCTGTACATGGGACCCCCCACTTCTCCTTAAAATAAACAAACCTTGAGCCCATTGGGGTCTGTTCTCCTCAAACACAGGGTGGGAACACACATTTCAGCAGCTGAGCCATTTCTGCTAGCTCGATGAAGCCTTGCTGGCTTTGGTCCTCAGTGTTTTGCCACTGATGACTTGCAGAGTCTCTTCAGCTCCCTCCCTTGCCAACACTTTTTTCACTGCCTCATGGAAGCAACGCGCTAGGCCTGCTGCAGCATATATAATTATTGTGAATGGTGAAAAGGAGCAATTGGATGCGTGGGGTTTCTCTCCAGAAAACTGGTTTATGCTCTCTAATAAGGTTTGGCCGTATTTTTATCAGGATTAACCTGTAAGTTGCATGCTTGAAGTTAAGCTCTGATGTCTTTCTGCCTAACATGACTGACTTGGATTTAAATATATGCATATCAGCTTTAAAAGCTTTTAGAACACTTCACTGAATAAAATTAGTATTAGCACTCTTCAAGTGCGCAAAATATTCAGGGGGAGTAAATCTCCTATGAGGCATGACTGGGAGTCTTGTTTTTCCCATGCCTAGTGCCTAACTCCACTTGCAATGGCTTTGATGATGCTGCTCCAAGGGCTTACAGAACATCACCAGGAAAGCAGATCTGCTTCGTTGCTACCGTGCGTTTGGCAACACCTCAGTTTTTGAAGGTAAGGGCACATCCTGGATCCCAGGCCTTTTAGATGCTTTCAAAGCATTTCCAGACTGGGTATATGCAAAATTCTTAATTTTGCTAATTGAATGGATTACAGATATCACATTTCATGCATAAAAAATCCGGTGAAGAGGATTATCGGTATGAGCAGGATATGTAGAAACAATATCATTTCTGCCTTGCCTTGTGCAGGAAATGTAAACCCCACTTGTGTTAGGAGTTGCAATTCCCCYTCAAAATTAGGTTGTCCATTGCAACTTCTGTTCGACCTACAGTGGGACAGGGTAGAGGTGGCTACCTACATTTTCCTTTGGTTTCTTTGATATCTTTTTGTTGCTAGCCTTCCTCCTCCCAAATCTCAGTAACAAAATAGTGTTAGTTGCTTCTGGAAATAAAGACAGAACATTCAGCCTTGTGTCTGACACTGCAGTCTCCTCATCAACGTCCTCAGAGGTTAAAAAGATTAAAAAGCCTAATTGAGACAAACCCTGTATGAAATCACTGCTCCCTTGGCATGACTCTATTACTGCACAGGGACCTTTCAGAGCAATCTTGACTGATTTATAGTCATGATAGTCACATGGAGATTTTTTTTCTGGATAAGTGAGAACACTTCCCATAAATCTTAAGCATAATAATCATATCAGTAGTCAAGACCAGAGTTAAGGTTGCTCTGTGATCCTTGCAAATAAATATGCATATCTTTGGGCAACTAACATCTGAAAACAAACACAGTACAAGGGAGAAAGCTCTTTCTGAACAGCCCAGAGAAGGCTGTAGCTGTTGGGAAGTCGTAAGCATTAATCTCCTGCATTCACCAGGGCAAGTCATTTAACCCATGGTCCTGACTTCCTTCTCTAAATTGAGGCCAGAAACATTTGTCTGACTGCCTAGGCAAGGCAGAATTGTCATTTTGGTGTCACACAGCAATGCTTACACCTGAACAGCTCCTGAACTTGGTCAGCATTGATGTTGCTGTATGCTGAAGGGAAGAAGAGAGGAAAAAGAGACATGTGATGTCTTTTGTCACTGTACAGCCAGCCCCTTTAATCACCTTTGCRAGTATTAATATATATCAAAGAAACACTTGATGGCAGTGTCACCTCAGTGTTTTCTGAGCCCGAAAGACTTCGCTCCCAAAGAGTGGGAGCAGGAACAGAGGGGTGACAGGAGGATATCATGGAGCCCACAGGCCGGGGAGGTGGCACCAGGGAGGAAGGAGCAGCCTGTTCACATCGGGCTGTGGGGAGACCCAAGTGCAGTGCAGATGGGACCCTCCTGGGCTTCCCTGATCTCTCTCATCAGCTGCAGGCCTGAAAAACCACTTACTCTTTGARAGCACAGTTCCCCACCATGCAATAAGTAGGGAATCCCTTGGCACCTTGAGGACTGATCATGTCTCCCTCCCAGACCRTGCAGAAATGTGGGCAAATACAATCAACTGTTCTTTGGAATTAGCAAGGGATGTATGAATTTTCTGGTTTATCTTCTTACGTTCTGTGCATTTATAGCTAACAAAAGCTGCATGAAGTGGGGCGGTGAAGCTGCAACTCTCACTAAGAAGGTTTTCTTTGCCATGCAGGAGATGTGCATAGTTGAAGAACCCTTAGAGGAATTCACTTCAAGGCACAGTCTGGAGTGGAAATTTTTGTTCCTGGATCACAGGTTGGTGACAAGAAAAGCACTCTTGATAGTGATTTCTGCTTGTTTACCACTATTTTCATAAGTGTGATTCCCTAAAATAGTGTTATACTTMCCATCTAAGTCATATGAAGAGTAGTGCTCCCACTAAAATTCCCGCAAAAGCTGATGTTTACTATTTCAACTTGCATTTGTTTTTCTTGGACTCTTGAAACAAAATCACCCTGCTCTCAGACAGCATTCTCAATTAGCCTGTTCTTGCTTATTTCAAAAAAAAAAAATGGGCCAAAGCCTGTAACACGACAGAAAATGCCTAGTCATTACACGGCGGAGGGAGTCATTTCGAAACCTGGCCACTGGTTACGTGTGCCATTCCCAGTGCCTTATGGAGGGAAAGTCTGTGCTGGCCTGAGGCAACCACGCTGGCAAGAGGACAAGGCAACTGATAAGCTCTGCAGAGCCCCTGAGAGCAGGTCCTGGTGCAAGCTGCTTTAGAAACTGCCTTCTCTGGAAAGGAGAAGGCCTCACAGGCCTTGCCCTGGGAGCCAGCATCGTGCTCCAGCTCCAGGGCATCCCCAACAGGGCACCTGGGCGGTCACAATGCGGTCCCTTGGTGTGGGTGGCTGGATGCATGGCAGTGAGGGCAGGATTTGGGCTTCTGGATACCCGCAGCAGCGGGCAGGCTGCTGTTGGTGTCTCGGCCGTGCCAGTTCAGCTACGCTGTGCCCCAACGCAGAGCRCCGCCGATTATCGGGTACTTGCCTTTCGAAGTGCTGGGGACGTCCGGCTACGACTACTACCATATAGACGACCTAGAGCTGCTAGCAAGGTGCCATGAACACTGTAAGTACGCACAGCCCACATGTGGAATCCTTCTGGGGGGCTGTGGTGACTTTAAAATCTAAAAAGACTCTACATGGGTATGTGTGAGAACCCCTTGAAATTACTGGGAAAAAGCAGGGAGGAATTTGGTCCATAAATCCTTAAAACCTTTAGATACGTCGCAGCTTACTGCACTTTCAAAAATTGTCATACTAGGAATTTTGTTYCTTTTCCAAATGTTTTTTATCTTAGCATGATGTTATCCTGTATATTCGCTTCTTTCTTAACCGTYGCTGAAACTCTTCTACACAGAACATTCATCTTTTCAGGCATTTTTACCCTTTACTTTTCTGATGTATAACTTGAGATGACCACTCTTAGAAATTAACCCCAGCTACTTAACTAAGTAGTAGATAATCAACCCATAAAGATTTAAGCCCAGCAAAAGATTTATACTTAAGCTGTAGAAGATATTAATGCATTAATGTCCAGAGTTAAAGGTAGCTGTATTTGTACTATTTAAGAATTTACTGTTTAAGGCACCAGAAAAAGAGACCTACTCTTCCTTACGATGTTTGTTTTACCATTAGAGTCACAGGCCCACACACTCAAAAGGCATTTAGGCTCCTACCTCCCTTGGAAGCCAGCAGGGACTAGGAGCTGGGCCCTGGATATTTTTGTCACACTTCTCACAGTTCRTGTCATTCTCACCTCACGCGACAACTGTGTGTCTTTTCTGCTGGCAGTGATGCAGTTTGGCAAGGGGAAGTCTTGCTGCTACCGGTTTTTGACCAAAGGACAGCAGTGGATCTGGCTGCAGACCCATTACTACATCACGTACCACCAGTGGAACTCCAAACCGGAGTTCATTGTGTGCACACACATGGTAGTAAGGTATGGAAAGCAGCCGTGTACACAGTAATAAGGTATGGAAAGCAGCCATACGTGGCACCAGCGTAGCCGTAGTAAGCGACGGGGACCTAAAAGACAGTAAGTTAAGGGTGTTCTAATGATGGCATTTCTCTAATAAACATGAATGTGTCTTTTATGCAACAAAAATTAAGTCTGGAGTCTGTGAGGGACAAAAAAAAAAGTAACTTTACTACAGAAAAATGAACACACTAGGCCTTATGCCTTCCCTTATTAACCACGAGTTTACAGACAGATTAACTGCTGCATTTTTCCATTTTGTGTAACACCAGGGAAAAAACAGATGCCTTAAGCGTTCAGTTCCTGAAATTCTTATGTTGATTTTTAAAAGAGATGGAAGCTCTGAAGTGATCTTGAGATACAAATTTAACCTCAGCTCTAATATAACTCTAAACTCCACAAATATAGGAACTGAGCAGAAATTGAAATTTAAAACATGATATCTCAAATTTTGTGCAGAAGAATGCGACTTAAGTGATCTTCAGTTGTTCATTTATCCTGTAAAATTCTATGATAATTTATGCCTTTGCTTAAAGTATATTTTATGAAGTATAGCAGTATAATATTGAAACACGGAATTATATTTTACAATCAGTTATGCAGATGTTCGGGTGGAGAGGAGACAAGAGATGGGCTTGGAAGAAGTGTCCTCAGAGGTTGTGTCCTCAGCACTAAAGGTACAACAGGATAAAGGTGTTTTGTTTTGTTTTGTTTTGTTTTGTTTTGTTTTGTTTTTTAAATATATGCAGCAATCACAACCTGTCCCTATGTTACAGCCATCAAAGACTTCAGTGTTGTCTTTTCAGGTGGATTCCCTCAACCGCAGGATTCTCAAATTGCTTGAATAATTTTAAAGTAAACTGATTAAATTCATGAAAGAGGAAACCTGGAGATCACTAACAGTAATGAAATATGTGGAACATGAGCATGGCAATGTGAGATATCTCCATGTTCTCCCACCAAAGTACTACAGATTGAGATTCATTTGGGACACGTTTGGGATTGGGACAGTTTGAGATTCATTTGGGACATCCTTTCTTGGCAACATGTCTGCTGAGAGAAGGGAACACCAGCTCCTCCTCAAGGCATTGCTGAGGGTTCCTCAGAGGTTGCAGTGACTGTCACATCCAACTGAATGCAAAGGGGAAAAAAAGAGAGAAAATTTTCCACAGAACATTTCAAAGCACAAAATGACCATGGTGATAGCTTGCCATGTCTTTCCCCCTCAGTAAAAGTGCATTGGAAAATGAATCAGTATTTGTATGGGACATTGATACTTGGGCATAAGTCTTTTGCTGGCCTGCTGGGGAACAGTTCTGCTCAAGCCATTTTAGGCTAACCAAAGAAGAATTACCAGATGCATGACAAAATGTTTTCCCCCTGACAGATGTTTTAGTTATTTCGTTCTTTTGTTTTGTTATGTCTTGTTTTAGGAGAGTGGCTCCAGCTTGGATCCTGAACAGCACTTTAATGCACTCGATATTGGTGCCTCGATCCTTAGTGCTAGTCGGACACCCTCAGTGTCGTCCAGGAGCTCACCAAAATCCTCCCACACACCAAAATCAGACCCTGCATGTGAGTGGCATTTCTGGGTTACTGCATTATTCTAAATTTAGCCAAAGTACCGAATGTGTGTCTGTATGACACCGTTGCTAATTTAACAGTTATTTATGAGCTATCAGTGACACCTTTGTCACACAGAATGCAGTGCATAATCTGAAATTATAACATACATGAGGGAAGGCTCTAGTGCAACCATCCCTACACTGGTAAATAGGTAGTGGCGCTAACCGTGATATCTCCTGTTTAGCTTTGTTAGGAAAATCAAGATTTTTTGTCTTCAGAAGTTTAAAAAAAGCCATGTTTGAGGGCTGTGTGAAGCCCATGCAGACTTACACAAGCAGTAATAGCCTGTGGGTGATATTCTTTTGGCCAGGACTCAGGATGCTCTGTCTATGACTTGGGCACTCCTTATGCACTCTTTCTGCTCCCTAGTCTGGAAGGAAAGCTGATGATTTAACTTCAAATAAAGAGAGTTCCAGATGTTTTAGAACTGATTTTGGGGTCCCTTTGCTCTCTTCATCGGAGCACAGACTCCGAGTCTGTCTCACTGACTTGCATCTTTGCCCAGATTCTCCTTCCCAGTTTGATTTTACTGCTCCAGTTGCAGTCAACAGGAAGAGCCTGGACTGAAGCTGGGATTTAGCCAGACCACACATCACTTTTAGCCTTGTCTCATTCTGACTTAGAAAATGATGGTGATTTTTCAGCGTGTGGGAACTCACTGATACTTTCCTTACAGCTACACCGACAAAGCTGATTGCAGAGCCCAGCACTCCCTTGCAAAGGACTCCTGGCTCACAGCAGGATTTGCCCGTGCACAGACTCAGTCAGCCTACTGCTCTGCAGGTAACTTTACCCACGATGATAGAAACAGGCAGAAGGTTTGAAGCATGTTCCACATGTGCAGCTTAGCAGAGGTGAAAAAGACTTATACACAGGCCATGGCATTAGAAGCAATCTAAAATTAGAAAGAGCCAAACTTATAAATTAAGTTTTGCTTTGCTTTGTTTTGTTTTCAACCTAGGCTTCTTTGCCTTCTCAGCCTTCGTGTGAGCTTCTCCCACAGCAGTTGCTGCCCCAAGCAACTTTGCCAAATCAACCTGCACCTCTGGCACAGGTTAGTTGGGGACTTGGAAATGGAACAGGTCACTTCTCTGATATTTTCTCCCTTCATCTACTGAATAAATTGACAGAGTCCAGTGCTTTTAGGATCTTTCTTTAATAGTTAAATCCCCAAACTTCAGCACTCAAACTCTTAAAATACTATGGGAGTGTCATCTGAACTGTAATCTCGTGTGCTTACACATATGTTTATATTCAGACACTCACAGCAGAAGCACAGGTGCAGGTATGCTCAAGTGCACACCCACATTTATGTCAGAGGGGCACAAAAACAAGACAGAGAAGCTGTTTCCCACCCTGCCTCTTCAGAATGAGGCCCCCTCAAAATCAAGGTCCTGATGAAAATTAAAAAAAAAAAACCAGATAATTAATCCTCTTTAAAAAAATGTTTGGCTAATATAATGCAGAACTAATAGTAGAGCACACATCTTGTAGATCAGCAGGACCCCTTTTGAGAGATTGCCAGTGACAACAAGGGTGCTGCTAGTGGCAAAGTCCTCTGCTGGAATCTCTTAAGCCACATCTTGGAAGCAGCTAATGACCCAAAAAGCCACCCCCGGGTTTCACTGGCAGTGGATTTCAAAGAAGCGAACTTGAGTAGCATGTTCCCATCATTGCTATCCCACTCTGTGACAATATCCTGACATCCTACAATTTGGTAAGTGACTGAGGTCTAGACCTTAGGGGCTTCTACCATTTGTAGCCAGTACTCCTGCGCAGGACCCTGGAGATTTTTTCTGTACAAACCATATAAATCTGGAGGATCCCAGCTTTAAAATACCGATTTCTCATTTATCTTTTATGTTTAACATTCTTTTCACGACTCCACACCAGCCTGCAATGAAGAAACAGGGTATCAATTATCTGCTCTGAGCATTCGCTTTCTTTTGCACATATTCTTCTTTGCTATTCATTAATGCAYTTCAAAACACCAATTAGTTTGTTTATACAAACCTGGGCATGTTTGCATGTTTTGCTTGATTGTCCTCTACTCCCTTTTCTTCTCCATCAAAACTCATTTCCAGGAAGATGMTTTTCAGTTGTTTACCAAGAGCCCATTTAAATGGGCTTATTGGCATTCCTCTCCCTTTGCTTCTCAGCCAAACTGGAATATTTTGCAGTGTCATGGCCAGCAGTTCGACCTCTTTGGCCTGGCTAAATTTGGGCCTCAGGRACTGACCAGAATCTGTCTAAATATGAGTCCTCTGTGGTCACCTTCCTGAGYAGCAGCAAGTGCCCCAGGGCAGCTCAGGCAGGCGCTTCCCCGATGGCAAAGCGTAGGCAGAGCACACGGGAGCCGGCAGCTCCTGGGAAAGGACCATGCTCCTGGGAAAGGGAGCAATTCTCCACAGATTCGAGTGATGTTCTCATCATCTATTGATTTCCTTCTGTACTTGCCACCTAAAAATAATAAGCATGCCAGTCTACAACAATGCAATCCATTATTTAACAAGACAAGATAAGGATTCACCCTACAGCACTAAGCAAATGAGCGATGAGATCCAGGTAGAGCAGAGAAACCCAGGCATATTTTACACTGWTACCATTCCCTCAATTTGCTGGTCGATCATTTTCTCAGCATTTTAGCAAGAGAACAAGATCTTGTTGCTTTCAGAACCACAGCATCTCCTCCTGTGCCTCAGATATGCCAGAATCACTACTGAATTATTCCCGCATCATTTTACAGTGTCACTGCTTCAGTAGCTGCTCTCCGTTGGCTTTTTGCTGCTCACTCCATCCTGAAGCTGCTAAAACAAAGTTTTCTGAGTGTGTGCATGCAGGACCAAGGCATTTTTGGGGAGTCATCCTCTAGTGGGAGCCCAAGCATCCAGCCCAGGGGTAGCAGCAAGGGAAGGACATTTCCAAGAGCCACCAGCACCTCTGCAGCGAGCAGCCAGCTCCTGCCTCCAGCAGCAGCTGCTTGAACTTTGATTAGTTTTATTCCAAGCAATTGCTGTCTTGGTTTTGTCGCCACCTAAATACAGTTTTAGATCCCCACTTGCCAATTTGCCTGAATGAGCCCTAAAGCACCACACGGGGTGCTTGAGTGTGAATGGTTTGCTGTAAACCAAGCACTCCCCATTAAAATATTTGTATTATTATTGTAATAAATTAAAATCCCCAGCTCCCATGAAAACTACAGCAACTCGATGCTGTACACAGCAGATTTTTGCCTTGCATGTTTGCCTGCATCTGGAAAGCAGGTACAGCTGCAGCATTCCCTTTTCTGAGATCCAGGGGRATCTGCAATACACCTAAGTGAGACCCACAGTAACTTTCTTGGACGCTAATGATAGAGTTAAAGCCATGTAATGTTTTCTGYGGAACAATCTGAATTAAGCTCTTTAATTCATTACACAATTACAGATTTCTTCCCTAATTAGTWGAGCAGTTAATGATCTTGAGATAAATACTCTCCAGTGCAGGTCCATTGCTGCCCGTKTCTCACAATGCCCAACACAATGGAAGCTTTTTATCAGGCAGGTCATTGCTAGAGTTACCACCTAATTTTGGTTTCACAGTGGCAAAGGGAAGAAAAAGAAAGGAGAAAGAATCTCCTCCTCCTCAGTGGCTCTCCTTCTTGTAGGTCGTCTAATTGTTGTTGAGTTGTTCATACAAAAAGAAGAAAATAGAAAGAAAAATCGTAGAAATGTACGACAGGTATGAGAATGTGCTGAAAAGAATAACATGCAGTAATAATTTTAAATCCTAAAGCTATTTTTGTGTGTGCAGCTTTGCAAAGCAAATTCAAATCTAAAACTAATGCTGGGACATAGAGATTGTCTCTTATTAAAATATGAAATGAGGATAAAATTATTTCTTCTAAAATTCCTGTGATTTCTTATTTGAAAAAAATCAAGTTGATTTCCCAAAGTGTCTAAAAGGAGTTCATGCATCTGGATTGTCCCAGTGATAAATTTACTATTGGCAGACCACAGAGTTAAAATGAAACTTGTGCCTAAAACTGTTTTTACTTCCTTTCTGATAAAAATCCTTCCAAAGAGTTAAGAGAAGTCCTCAGAGACAGAATTCATACAGGGAAAATCAGGTTGTGAGGCTTTTTTGAGGCCTTTTTATTTATTTATTTATTTATTTAATATCCTTCCATATAGACCAGGAATTAGCTATTGTTAATGTAAGCTCTTGTTCTCCTGAAATTCTCCTGCTGGTGCAATTCCATGCCTAAAATAAGGGAGCCCAGGAACTCCAGACCAGACTGTAACAAAGACCCTCAAGTTCCCCTTGCAGTCCCTTATCTTGTTCTCAAAAAGCAGCAGGTTCCACCCAGCCATTAGCCATGTTACATACATATGTACTTTAAAAAATCATCCTTCYTCCCCTGAAGAACATTCCCAGGGAGATTTCCTCTGTTTCCTAGAGGGCATGTGACAGATCTTCCACTCATGTAGTTGTTCCACAGCAAAGTCGAGACAAATCTGACCTGGCACATGCAGGTTTCTCCAAGTGCCCTGAAACTCCTTCAGCAGTGCAATGTTGCTAGCACCTCAGTTCCCTCCTTGACATCATTTTTGGATTTCCTGTTCAGAAAAAAAGGGAAAGCCAGGAATGGTGTGAGCAAGAGCAGCCCCACCAAGCAGGAAGGTGCCAGCAACATTCCTGAACAGTTTTGCCCTCCAAGAGCAGGGCCACTAAAAAGCCACAGGACCAACACATCATTTTCAAGTCACTGCAGGATTTTTTTTTGTATTTTTCTTGGAATGAAAACTCATGCAAAGCAGCTACTCCAAAGCCAATTAAAATATTAATTAGCTTTGGGAACTTTARATCATCCCCTAAAACACCAAATGATATGAGGAGCTTATTACCATGTTAGTTTCCTCGGTGCTTATTGGATGATTCCCTTCTGTGTCATTGCAGATATTGGATATTTTGCTCTCTTCTGCACCCTCATTAGTGATCTCCATTTTATATAATTATTTAGAATAGCCCTTTTGCCTGCTGAGCTTCACCATTTGTTTTATGTCATGTGCAAAAATAATGAGTGTTCCTTRTAACCTGATTAATGCTCAACTGTAGAAATCTAGGAGGTTTTTATTGTGGTCAACCATTGCATAATGATAATAAGTAATGAGTGGAATAAATCACTGCAGGACTGCTATTTCAGTGTGGGAAAAGCAAAAGTTAGTAAAATTCTCTGGAATATATGGTAATGTCATGCTTAGGACTCCAAAATATAAGCTAGTAATAATAATGCACTGCTTGATCATCTAATATGTACTTGATAATATTTTAAAGTAGCACATTCTCAAAAAGAGTCACTGGGATGATTCACTAACAGAACAGGATCAGTGGAGTGTGGATCTCTATAACTGAGGCAACTTAATATTTGTGCATAAGATTGCAAATAGAACAGCTTAACCTCTGCCTAGATGTTAGTCTAAAGGTATTATAGACACACTTTATTCATTTGATTTTGTTTAAAAAATCAAGAGACCAATAACTTCTTACATATTAACACAGTATTGAGGTCTGTCCATAACCTAATGACTGATTTCTCCCCCTTTTTTAAGTTCTCAGCACAGTTCAGCATGTTCCAGAGCATCAAGGACCAGCTCGAACAACGGACCCGGATCCTGCAAGCCAACATTCGGTGGCAACAGGAGGAGCTCCAGAAAATACAGCAGCAGCTCTGCTTGGTCCAGGACTCCAGTGTACAGGTGAGGTGGTGTTGGGAAGGGGAAGCATGAAGCATCTTCTCACCTGGCATTTAATAGAGTGGCCAACTTCAGTGTAGCTGCAGAGCCCATGAAATCTAGAGGTGGGAAAACRAGCTCCTCTGAATGAGGATTTTGCCCTCTGCCAGTGTCTTGAGTAACGCACACTGAGGAAGATTGAGAGCTTCTGGAAGATGAAGAGAAAGGAGTATCTCAACCACGGTGGGAAGAAATTAGGCTGTTCAAAGTAGCACTTCAGTACTTCATTTACTGAGTCTTCAGACTGAGCAATGCTAATAGCAAAGGGCTCCCGTTCAGATTTGGCAATGCTCGTCTCCTTAGTTCATTAGCTTCAGTGCTTGCTTCAGACATGAATTACCAGTCCCGCCTGTCTCATCTGTCCTGCTCCTGCTTGGCCAGCAGCCCTGTGCTTCTCCCGCCCACCATCCTTCACCTCTTCCATGCACTCCCTGCTTCCCAACCCAGGCCCAGCTTGGAGACACAGCACAAGAGATGACTTTCCTCATCATGTTTTTGACATGTATATATCCAAAAAGAGAAGGAAGGAAGGAAGGAAGGAAGGAAGGAAGGAAGGAAGGAAGGAAGGAAGGAAGGAAGGAAGGAAGGAAGGAAGGAAGGAAGGAAGGA